ACACACACACACACACACACACACACACACATATATATATATATATATATATATATACACACACATACATTCCAAAATTTCGAAAGCAATGCACACTTTAAACATTGTCCAACTATCACAACTCAGTAAACGACCTCAACCGCGAATTAAAATTCAAAACCTTAGTTCCTGGAAACTTAGCGTCTGTACACAACTTTAGAAAGGTCCTAAGGCCATTCTAGTACTTTCCCCAAAGGACGAGACGGTCTCAAAAGACCCGTGGCCAACAGTTTGGTCAAACTTCCCTTTTTTTGGTCAACCTGGCCCGTGGGCCCACGACCTCTGATTTTCTATCCAAAGGTTCCTATAGGTCCAACAATGTCTATTAACCAAGTCTCGAGGGTTTAGTCTCGATCGATCGGTCGGATCGCTCTCGATCGAACGGTAGTCGGTTTACCTAACCCCAAATTCATTGACTCGGAGTATCCGAGGCTCCGATTCTCGATCCACAAGTTTCCACACGATTCTAAAGATACGAGAAATGACATATTTTAAAATGAGACCGATCGGACGGTCCGAACCTATTGGACCCAGATGTCGCCTAACAGGCGTAATATCTGTTCAATAGTCAAACGGTATCCAATTTCTAATCCAGACATACCGTTATGCTCGAGACAACATGAGGAGTATTTTGGAACTCAATGAACCACCAAAAAGGGGCTCACGCGCCGCCACCCTCCACCAGCAGTGGTGGGTGGCTTGAGTAAATTCCGGCGATCGGAAAAACTCCAAATCGTCGGCCAATACATATACCATTAGAACCACCACACCTAGGGGAACGTCATTGGTCTTGGACCCCGGCCAAAAAGTGGCCGGAGCTAGCCGGAAAAGCACCTCGCAATTGGAGAAAAACCTAGGTTTTAGATCAAACTCTAAACACTCCAAATTGATCCTAACCAACCATACCATTAACTAGAGCACGTTGAGTAGATGAAGAATTATACCTAGATCGACGGATTTGGCCACCGGAGTCGCCGAAATGGCATTGGAAGAACCAGGAATCGTCGGGCCTTTTTCAAGTTCTCACCGGCGCTGGAGGGCCTGGGTTCGTCGAAACAGGCAAGGGATGGGAAGAGGAAGCCGGCCCAGTTCTTTTGGGTCCAGTCTCGTGGCTTGAGCTGGCTGGACGGCTCCGCTCCACTCCTTGGAGCGCCCGGCTGTTGCACACAGCAAAAGAGAGAATGAGGGTCGGGGAGAGAGAGTGACGCGTCCGCGAGAGAGAAAATCGGGTATTTAATGTTTTTTAACAAATTTTGAAATTAATTTTACATTCTTTCGGTTTTCTGACCTTTATGGGCTCATTACAACTTGGAATTGAGCGTGTCGCTTGTCTACAAACTCATATCGGCTAGCTCTACCGAATGATACCACTCAATTCCCCAAAATTCTGCTGGATTAACAAGTGACTAAAGTGACCCTACCCTCAAGGGCAAAATTGTAATTTCACAAATATAAATAAATTGAATAAAACAATTAAATGAGGTTGGGGGTGTTACAACAACGAACCGTCTCAAATAAAAGTCGCATGGTAGGATTGGTATGAAGAAGGATATAGGGTGGAAGATTGGTGGTGCCGAGTGGGTAGCGGTGGATAAGTTTCCCATTCTTTGAAGGCTTCGAAATAATAAGGTTCCCAATCCTCAGGGTTATAAGGTTCCCAATTTTTAAAATAACCAAACTCCTCCTCTTGAGCAAGGAGACGTGTGGGTTTTGATAGAGGGCCAAGGTGAGCAACACGTGGGTCGTCGAGGTCGACAGGAATCTGAATGGGTTTTGGCCAAAGCTTAGAGATGCGATCCGTACAATCTTTGTATACCTTGGTTAGGGCATGAGGCTGGTCCTTTGGTGGGGTAATTTGGAGAGGTCGTGACTTAGTTGCTTTAGGATGAAGGTGGCATTTGCCTTTGTCAGGCCTAGGCTGCGTTGAAGCGCTGTGCAAGGAGATGGCTAGTTGATTCAACAGGGTATGCCTGACACCTTGGGTGTCATTGTGCTGGGTTTACTAGTGGCGAGTATTCTCCCAGTTATGTTTCAAGGTTCAGCAATCATGTTCCAACTTGACATTTTTGGTGCGGAGGTGGTCGTAGTTCTCCATCATTTTGGCAACATCGACACGAAGTCGTTCCACTTCGGCCTGAAGATGCACATCGATTGAAGGTTTCCTTCTGGAGGATTCCACTAGGGGGTGTGATGTTGAGTGCCCAAGGCTAGCTTCGCTCGGAATGACGGAATGTGATGGACTGAAAAGACGACGGGGTCTTATTATAGGTGAAGGAGCGAGCGAGACTAATAGAGATGTGGGATTCAAAAGTCGATTCCCACAGACAGTGCCAAACTGTTGACTCCCAAAATCGGGTGTCAACTTAGATAGAAGAAGTGTAGGGTCTTCAATAGGATTAGGGGGTTAGGACCTAAGGCAATGAGGGGCCTTTGGCCATAAATCGATCCTGCAGAAGAAAGATGGAAGAAGCAATCGTCAAGCTTCGGGTACCGATGTGGTATCTGCCGAAGGCTCTCCGATGCTTAAGTCATCAAGTGTGAGGTACACAATAATTTTTGCAGAGTAACAGTAAAGGTGAGAAGTAGTTACCCCTTTTTACTTGGGCACTATTTCTCTTTTATGGAGAAGTGCAAGTGGGAGTTTGCACAAAGTTTCGATGTGGGACTTTGTGCAAATCCCCGTGATAGCGACATGTGTCCAAGGCTTAGGTTATGTAGTTGAGGGTTTCCACAACCACCTTCGACATGCAATTGCCACATCAGAGAAATGTGTCTTCGATAGCTGAGATTATGATGATGTCATCGGTGTTTAGGGATTCCCATAAGTGTCTTTCCTTGGGCAGTCTATTGGTCTGTGGGCGCGCTGGTCTCCCAGTACCGAATACACTCGGTTGATTATGGTACAAACAAAAGAAAACCCAATATTTTAGTTGTGATTTGTTCACAATGCATATATATTGGATTTAAGACAACAGATCAGTTAAACTATACGATGGCGATACCCAAATAAACCGTTGAAACAAGAAGAATACAAACACTCAAGCTCCAATTCTTCATCAATGGCAACGGGGGTCATTGTGGAGCTCCAAAGAAACTCTCCCAACTGGGCCACGGTAGTGGAAGACATAGTGAAGCTAGAGCGAAAGATCTTTCCCAAACATGAATCTCTTGCTGGAAGCTTTGATGAAGAACTGAGAAAGAAGAACAGTGGGTTGCTTTACAGGGAGGTAGATGGTGAAGTTGCAGGCTATGTCATGTATTCCTGGCCTTCTTCCCTGTACGCTTCTGTCACAAAGCTCGCAGGTTTGAAAACCCATTTACTTTCCTGAACTATTTTCATACACGTCAGTTTTCTTCGATTTCTTCTTCAAATGTGATTTTTGAGCATTTACAGTCCAAGGTTAAATATCATGTTCAAAAAGAGCTCTGGTTTTTTGCTTTATTTTTCTTTGCTAGTTTGGCTTCTTTGATTTGTGTTGGTTTTGATGCTTTGTGGGTTGGTTTTATTTCTGTGTGGATATGAGATGATCAATATGAAGCTCTCGCTGAATGTGATAGAATTGTCCAAAATGCTGAATTTACGTTTTTTTTTTCAAAGTAACTATGAAATTAATTAGTGGAACGAATTTGGTATGCTTCCTTAGTGGATTTCATTGCTTATTTAGCAGACACAACGTTAGCTTGCTGAAATTTTAAATATGCCCAGAAGCTATTTGATGAAAGTCTCCAAATAAACTCTAGAAATAAGTTGCTGCTCGGATGTTTCTCGTTGGCATTTACTTCTTGTTGGTTCTTTTTGCGGTTAGAGAGAGGTAAATTTTTACATCTCATATTCAGCAGACATTGATTTCTTCTGTGCATGTGAGTGTTCTCTTCCACAGTGAGGGATGCTTGTAGGAAGCAAGGCTATGGAGAGGCACTGCTGACAGCAGCCATTCAGAAATGCAGAACCAGAAATGTGCAGCGCATAACGCTTCACGTTGATCCCTTGAGGACTCCTGCCGTGAATCTTTACAAGAAACTCGGTTTCAAAATCGATAACCTCATAGAAGGTTACTACTCTTCTGATCGAAATGCCTATAGAATGTACTTGGATTTTGATGCCAGCCAGTGAAATAGAGGTCATAATTTCTCCCAAGATATGCATTTTCTCAATTTTTGCTTAAGCAAGCTGCTGGAACAATATTTACTTGTGGGGAAATTTTAGAAACAAGTTTTTTGTCTTTTGGTTTTAGCAGGGCTGGCACTCTTGTCAGCAGTATGTGGACATTATGGGAATTTGAAGACGAACTAGTTAGCAAATGTGTTTGTTTTGATAAGAGAATTTAGTTTGATTTGTAAGCTATCATATAAGGAGTTGGGCTAAACACTCTTAACTTCGCAATTAGTCAATTTGATTACCGTTTCAAACTAAATTAGCCTAACTAACTTCCTTGCAAGGGAAAAATATTATTCCGAGTTGCATTTTCGTCTTTCGATTCCAATTTTAGTTTATGTGGTCCTCAAATTTGCTCCCCACAGCTTTAAAAATGAACAAAGTAATGTAATGAAAACTGATAATAAATAATAAATAATATTTTTTCTTTGCCTCAAAACTTAAAAAATAGATGCAAAAAGGAAATGATGCTGCCCAGGATCGAACTGGGGACCTTCAGTGTGTAAAACTGACGTGATAACCACTACACCACAGCACCGTTCTGTTGATAAATATGAGGTTTTAATATATATCATACTTGATTTTATTCTAAAAAATAACAATTTTCATGGAAGCGATTAACTGCAAGACGAATCCACCTTGAAAATCGTAAAATTCGGAAACCTTACTCACTAAAACCGAAGCAAATGACGATCATCCTATTTCCACAAACCCTCCTGTGCGCATAGTTCCTGGGTTCCAATTTTCAATTTAGGGTTTACCTGTAAATTGTTTTGGTGAATTTGGGTAGTGGGCAGAGAGAAACATGGTCGGGGTGGTAAGGACCTGCGTACAATCAATCCTCAAGTTGGTGAACTCGGTGATTGGAATGGTTGGGTTGGCCATGATCATGTACTCCCTGTGGTTGATTAGGTCCTGGCAAAGGAATATGGGTCACTTGTCATTTGATCATTCTCATCATCATCCAATACCTTGGTATGTTCACTTTCTTTTTCAATTTGCCATCGTGGGTCTGTTTGTTTCCTGAGAAAATGTGGGAAAGATAAGGGAATTGGGAGTTTAAGTTGTGGATGTTGTAGATATTGAATGGTCTGGGACCTGAAAAAAAAGTACAAAAATCTATCCAGGGATCTTTGATTTACAAGATGGAAACAACTTAAAAGTATACAAATTTTCTTTTTCTTATTTTCTTAGACATTGTGTCAGTGACAATGTCTTTTTTTTGTTTTGAGATGAATGTGTATATTGCTTGAAAAGTTAAGTACTTTGGGTTGTGATCATCTGTTCTGTTATGGCCGTTGCAGTATGGGGACCTTACTTTATGTGGGCCAATTTCCCTTTTTCTACTGTAAGTTGCCTTTTAGTATGGGGACCTTCCTTTTTCTTGCATTATTTGCTTAGGAGGTGGAAAGATTAAAGGAAAATAAACTTGGAGGCTTATGCCTCTCGTTGTCTTGGTTTTCAACAATGGCCCTTAACTCTCTCTCCTTATAAGCTCCTTCAGTGAAGTTAGTTCTTTCTGTTTTAATAAGAAACATAGAATTTTATTGAGCTTCAGAAAAAGTAGATGCATACATTACAGAGGACTAGGAGTCCATTGACAATCAATCTAAAGTCTAACATTGGTAACAAAATCCATCAACACTAATCAGACTAAAAAGACCACAATGAAACTTTGTTCCACAAAAATTCCACATCATCCCCTGAAATCAGTCAAAGTCCTTCACTTTCGTTCTAAATTACACCATCCAAAACACTATCATCACACCACAGCTCCAAAGGACTTCTCCCTTTTTGACACCCTACAAACCTTGAACTTGTCACAGAAAACTGCAGAACAACTTCCTGGAACACCCCTACTCAAATTAGCTTCCCTCAACAATCCTCACCCTAAATTTAATGCAATGGGAAAGTGAAGAAACAAGGAGGCAGAAAGGCTCGTAATGAATCCAACCTCCAGATCCCCTTATCGAGTCTAGACAGCATTAAGGGACTATAATCTAACAAGGAGAGCGAAAAGGAAAGTTCCGCAGCCTGAGAGTCACTTAGATTTTTGCAAAACCCAAAATTCCAATGGAAAAAAAGGATTTGCACATGTACTGGCGATAGAAACATTTTCAAATGTCTAAAGTCTAAAACTAAGAGGAACAGAGATGAATAAAGGAGTTTCGTCCATCCATATCTTCCCAGAGTCTTACCTTTTCCCCATTTCACACCAGGAAGCAGCAAGAAGACAAGAACAAATTAAATCCTTGAGAAGTGAAAACTTGTGTTTCATTACCAATTTATTGTAAGAACAGGTTTGTGTTCGTATGCAATGCAGAAGCACAAAAACAAAAGAGGCCTGAGATAATCTCCTTGGCTTTGATTATTATCTTATAAAGAAAGAAAAAATGAACTAAATTCAAATTAATTTGGTTTTTCCTTAGTGATTTAGTCATTTATAGCAGTTGATTTTGGTGTAAAGGGTTTCATGTCCATTTGTTTTTGGTTTGTTAGATGGAGTAATTTTGATTTGGACTACTTGTCCTCAGCATTGCATATTTGGGCATGAAGGTTGTGTACTGGATTAAGAATCTTTTCTTTTTTATATTCACGACTTTCTGTGATGTATTAAGTTTTTATTTTCAAAAGGTTTCACATAATTATTTTTTTCTCAATGCTGATTTTAGAACTACTTTTGTGGCATGAATTGCAGGTTTATATACACTATTCTTGGCCTTGGGATCACCCTGTGTGTGATCACATGCTCAGGTCATATTGCTGCAGACACTGCAAATGGTTGTTGCCTTTATTCGGTATACTTTTTTTTCTTATATTATTATTCATAAATTTTTTATTTTAGACATATAGTCCAGTTCCATGGGGCTTCAATTGTTTTACTATTTTCTTCATAAAAGTATTTGATACAAATGTCTGTATTTTACCTTAACTGCTTACAGTACATGGTGTTTGTCTTCTTACTCCTCATGCTTGAAGCTGGAGTGGCAGCTGACATATTTCTAAACCATGACTGGGAAGAGGTATGTATTCGAAGACCAGTCTAGTTGCTTTTGTTTAACCGGTTAATGACTTAGAATGAAGCGTATTGGCGGTTTATTTAGCTGTTATGCTAATAATTTCAATTTGTAACCAGGACTTTCCAGATGATCCAACTGGGAGATTTGATCAATTCAAAAAATTTGTAAGGTCGAACTTTGATATCTGCAAATGGATTGGCTTGTCAATTGTGTGTGTGCAGGTCTCTCTCTCTCTCTCTCTCTCTCTCTCTCTGCGATGCATGTGTGTGCGTGTGTGTTTGCAACTTTGTGGCATCCTTTTAAGGAAATGAAAAGTTATATGTTCATTGAGTCTCAATTAATCTGTCTTCCCAAGACTGGCAGAACCAGTCAAGAGTTTAAAATATATTGCAGGGTCAGTTACCCCAATGCCCCTTGAGCTTTGGCCTGTTTCTTTACTCCTTGACGTTCAATTTGAATCATATTGCCAGTGCAGTTCCGTTTTGACTGTTAAAATAGTCCTTTCCATGAAATCTGTTATATTTGCCATCAAAAAGGTTACGTGCCGAGTACAATGTTTTCAAAGGTTTAGTTGTTAGTGAACCCTGTACTATGTTGACTTGAAACTTAAAAATAAAAGATAAGATAACAATTTCCTCCCATCTCTCTCTGGGAACTAGACTCTAGTGTTTGATATTTCCTACAGACACAAGATTGGAGAGTCAACTCTACAAGTCCCCAAACTTCTACCAGAAACATTGGAGAATGATTTGCATGGTTCATCAGCTAATTCACTACAACCAGAGACATTGGTATCATCCTTTTCAACACCAAATTCTGCAAAAATATAAGCTTTTTCCTTCTCATAATCTACCAATAAACAAAACTTTCACTTCAACAAACTTATCAGTTTCTCCAAGTACTCAATATCAGCTAGAAAACCTTCAAATTATAAAAACCAAAGCCTTCCATTCCTCCTTTATTCAAAATCTTAATCACCATAAGGACCCTCAAAGTCCCCAAACGCATGTAAATTTTACACTGCCACTAGGTTCATATATTGACCTTCGTTGGAAATAGTCCTTTTCTTTCAATGGACTCGAGGCAAGCTTCCTTGCCCAATTGCTCTTTGACCCCATAATCAACTAGAGGGATCAGGTGAGGGTTAAGAATGGAATCTCATAGTGCCTCAATTCGTCCTAAAGTGCCACAAAATTAGTCATTCTTTGCTTATTTTATTGGAGTGCAATAGGGCTCCTTGAAACTAACCCTTGCAGGTTCAGTGACTGTTGGTTGATCCAAAATGAAATGATAATAGTATAAAACTCTTGAATATATGTCTCCTTGTTTAGCAGTCCTAATAACTATCACCTATTGATAGCTTTTGGCAAATTTGTCTGCCCATACAACCTTGCCAAATGATCCTGTATTTCTTTGTCTGTAGAAAACTTAGCCAATTGTATTCCAGTAGACAATTTAAGTGGGTTATATAAATTAGCCATTCACTGTGCTTTGTTCTCTGTCATAGTTCAGTGGGAACTCTCACAACTCCAGATACGTATCCCATCTATATTTTCCCATAGAAACCTCATATGCATAACTTCAACAGAGACATCGTGTTGACCTGAACTTTTTATCAAGAAGAAATTGGAAAACCAGTACCGTACCAGAGCAAGTACACTAATCTATGAAACCCCGAGAGATGTGACAGAATTTCTGAGAAAGAAAATGCAATTTGCAAAGAACAAGTATAGTTAAGTTGAAATAAAAAGAGGATCAATTTGCTTTGGTACAATGTAAACTTTGACTTTATTGCATACCATACCACTAACATTTAAAACATAGAATATGTGTGTGTAGGAAAAATAATAATCTGACATGGGAAATGTAGAAGCCAAAATCTCATGAGGAATACTAAAAGGCTCTGAACAGTTTCGAAAGTTTATTGCTTTACTGGTGTTTGTTGCCTATGATCCATGCCCTCCTGCTGAACTTCAATTGCTTTCTTAAGATTTTAGAAGTGCCGTGTTCTATGATTTTATTACTTCATTGTTAGCGTTGTCTATGATGAATAATTGCTCAATGTGAAGGGCTTTCTGGTTTGCAGATCATGGCTATTCCTTTCCGTCATTTCTGTCTTCTTTCTGTTGACCGTTCATTTGTCTTCTTTTGCAGGGACTGTCTTTGTTATTGGCAATGATACTCAAAGCTCTTGGGCCACATCAGTATTAT